CCCTCCAAACATCCTGAATGTTGAACTCCTCTGCCATTTCTAAGAAAGTACTAGGTAATGTTGGTCTAATTCCTTTTCTAATCTTATCACTTTTATAATCCAATTGTCTGTCCTTGATCGCATTGAAGTCTCCCACTATACAAAAATTATCATAATCAAATTCACTAATAATGCTATGTAATTTTTTATAAAATTGTTTTTGGCCTTCGTTAGGAGCATAGATTCCCACCAAAGCTATTTTTATTTTGTTCAAAATTACTTCTATTATTAAAATTCTACCATCTTCATCATTGTATATATGTTTTGTTGGGATTTCCTCATTAATGTATGCTACTACTCCTGCTTTTCTTTGTTGTGAGAGCGCTGCGAACATTTTCCCCAATTTAGAGCAATTTAATAAATGTTGGTGTTGTTTTTTAATATGCACTTCTTGCAATATTATTATGTCTAAATTCATCTTACCCAATTTATTTACTTAAAGTAACTAAAGAGGTTAGATCAATAAGGATGCCAGTGGAGAGAGAAGTACAAGCTAAAGAGTCTAGACCAAAAATAGTAACAAGATCTAAATATAGATAAAGAGGCAAAAGAAGGAATTGAGATTATATCTCTGAATGGTAATGGTCTTAATTCCCCAATGAAGAGGAAAAAATTCACTACCACTTTTCTAGGATGGTCGCGTACCACCTGCCAGGTGCCAATGTACCACAGGTGGTACCCGTACCACTAGTTGAAAAGCCCTGGCCTAGCACACTCAGTGCTGAGAGCCCAAAGTACACTAGACAAACAGCCAGTGCTAGCACATTTCAAGGTCTATTCGCTATTATGTGCCTGCTTACTCTCTTATAATCTCTTATAATCCTTCCTCAATGATGACTTGAAATACAAATATTAATTCCTTTCTTGCTAATTATCCCAGAATCAGGATAAGCATTCCAAAGAACAGGGATGTGGTGGGGTGGGAGGGGAAGAAAGCTGAAGTAAAATTATAAGTACACTCATAGTCAGGTGATTTTCCACAGTGACCAGGTCGATAGCGATCAACTTGCCAGTCCCAATTGTCATAAAACAAAGACAACTTGTAACTCCAAAATTTCAGAATTAAATTATTTCTCATAATCTTTATAATACAAACTTGGTTTACAATGCTATATTTTTATTGTAAATGGTCAACTAACCTTGATAACTGGCAGCATGTCAAGTCAAATAAACAAATAAACTACCTACTTCATGCTTTTAATTCCCCAACCAGCCATTGTATCTCCCAAATACTGCATAAAACATCTACTGTTTCCGAAACCTATATTCTCTCCTTTTAAAATAGTTAAAGAGAACTTTTCCTTATTTGCTTGTTTGTTATAGCGTTGCTGTTCTTCTGAAATAGATTTTGAAATAGCATCAAATGCTTTGTCGCAAAAGATGTCTGTCATACTCATTAAAACTACTGTTTTTTAAACTTGGCAACTTTAAAATCATCTTACAGTTGAAATCTACACATCTTAAAACTGCCAAACTTGAAAAACACTGAATTACTCTGTGCTCTATACCTCTATAGCTGATATATTATTGTTTACGAAAGATACCTGGTATTTACTTATGGCTTGGGGATGATGCCATCTGGGTGGCAATTCTCCGGCAGCAATTTCTTTCTTGGTTGTAGTTAATTTACTTGCATTGCTTTAGTTTTGATCTTTTATAAGATTCGGAGAATCTGTATTTTCACTAACTATTGGGATTTTGGTAGATTTACAGCATAATAAAGCATTCTTGTAATATCATTTTCCATGATTTAGGTTTGTCTAGATCAGTGGTGGCGAACCTATGGCACGGGTGCCAAAGGCGGCACTCAGAGCCCTCTCTGTTGGCACGCGCGCTGTCGGCCCAGTCCTAGGCCTTCAGCTGGGTTTTATAAAACCTTTTCGCTTTAGGCCTCCACCGTGTCCCAAAAAAAAGGGGGGTTCAATCAGTCAATTTCAACTTCTCGTGGGAAAAAAAAGATCTTGCAAAGTTGGAATTGATTGATTGAACTTTTTAGCCCACCCAGTCTGCCATTACCACTGCAGCCACGCCCACCCAATGGGCCATGCCCACCCAATTGGCCACACCCACCCGGCACTCGACGATGCATAAGTGGGTTTTGGGTTGCAGTCTGGGCACTCAGTCTCTAAAAGGTTTGCCATCACTGGTCTAGATCCTTTTCACTGTACTGTATATGTGTATTTGAGTGTGCATTTGTAAGATAATTTTTCTTAGGCCAGTGTATCTATATTAATGTTTAGTGCCTAGTGCCTAGCTATAGTTAAGCTATTACAAGCAAACTGCAGACATCTACAAATTATTGAAATTAGCTTGAATGAATTCTAGCTAATGGAAACCTTTTGGCTTAACCCTACTACCATAAAATAGCGGCTGATGCTTCACTGTGGCCAATACCAGTAAAACAAATTGCATTCTAACAATAGCAGGGCATAAGGAATACCAATTGCAAGGCTCACTTCCAGTTTAGTTGATCATAGTAAAGTGCAATCAAATCTACAAATGAACTACTTTATTAAGAAAAGAAATCATAGCCTGAAGTCAGAAAAGCCATGGATGTGGCTCTCAGCAATTCCAAAACTTGTGTCTCTTGTTGTGGTGGTGATTTCAAGTCAGCATAGATTCCTGGCAACTACATGGACAAAGTCTTTGCAGTTTTCTTGGCAATGTTTTGGAAGTGGTTTGCCGCTGGCTCTTTGAAAAGTTGTTACCAAATCATAAAATTCTTAATGTGACATGAAAGAATGAAATAAGATCCTGTTTTTTTCTATGTGTGTCATCCCAACTTTCAGGGGATTTTTAAGAATGGCTTCTTAGATGCAATTCAGAGCGTTTTTTTCTCTGTGTAATTGAAATGCCTTAGGTAGGAAGATGACTGATCAGGAATGCACCCAAATAGAGCATGCCAAATTAATATAATGAATATGATTAATAAGATTATCTTCTTGTGCTATTTGCAAAAAAACAAAAAACACCCTCATAGACTGTGAAACATTTTAATATAAGATTAATAGATCTGTCATTGTTTGTATCCCATTTGTATTTTTGGAAAAGGGAATATTCATAGTGGGCGTAGAGGATAATATTGTGCTTGGAAGCTAGTTCAGATGTTTGACTGATTATTGCACTACTTTGACCCCATTATCTTTCAGCCAATCCTGTTTTTGGGGATTGTTTTTAACATGAAATACAAAAAAGAATGTCTGTTACTCTAAGCTCCTTGGAGAAACAAACAATATTGATACAAACAACACACAGAGATCTTTTTTCATTTTCATAGCACCCTTTGCATTATTTTTAGAGGAATCTACTGGATAGGGAGGGGAAGGAAGAGAAATTGTACACCTCTATAAATGTAACATTTTCATGCAGTGAATAAAAAATATACAGCCTTCGGAAGTTACTAGTAGGATTTTGGCTTCTATGAAACATACTGTATAGAAAAACATTTGAACCATTCACCAACAATTCAGAATACAACATTTTAAAACCAAAATTGTTTTATGTTTCTGAATTTTCTAAATGTTGACTGGCATTTGTTAGGGATTCCATTTTCCCAACCAATATTTGGTATGAGGCAAACCTTAAAACATGCTTTTAAAATTTAATTTTGTTAAATCACCTCCTTTTTTCCGGGTGTCTTATTTCCAGCTCCTACTGTCTTTATACAGGTCCCCTGGCTTGTCAAAGCTGAAACAATCATTTTCCCATGAATCTTTGCTGAGTCCAGGAGGTCCTATTGAGACTTTGGATCTTGGGACTGATGAGAAAGTCTTTGTCATGCCACTTCATAGCAGTATAATTGGACGAAACTTCTGCTTTGAGGTAAATAAATAACAACAAATACAGTGGAAGACTGATATATAGTTTCTGATCTTCTCAGTCTTTTTATTCTTTCAATTTTATAAGAATAACCAATTTTGTTGCTTTAGATTTAACATAAGAAGGTTGTGGATTATCCAATGATCAAATGATCTTTATGTACATGAGATAACTGGTATCAGTTATTGAACAGAAATGAACACTTTCAGTTATTTTTCACTCTTAAGAAAACATTGCAGTGAGTGACTAAGAGAAGCAACAAGGAACTAGGACATTTCTTACTGGGCCGTTGTCAATTGATGGAGAGTTGTGTCACAGTTGGGCATGTTAGCAATGCAGCATCAGATAAGGAATTTATTTTCATGTTTTGATTATATCAATGAAGATTAATGGTCATCTGGTTAGCTTACCTTGATTTATGATTGCTTTTTGCAGTCTTTACTGGTGCATGCTTCCAAAATTTAACAAGTGTTTGTCCAACAGCATCTGCAACATATCACAGACGAGCTAATCTTGTGTATTCACATTCCCTTTCCCATCCCCCAAAGTTATTGGAGGCAGCTGAAGCACAACTTAATGTTTTTCTCCTCTGCCTGGATGCTTGTTTCCTTTCCTTAATGCTTTTTATGCTGCAACATCATCATCCCAGATTCAAAAACCTAGTAATTAAGAATAAATGGCCAACATTTTAGGAAATCATCTGGTCTTGGGCAACTTTTTTTCCAACTGAAATATTGAAACATTTTAGGTAGAAAGAAGGCATCTTGGGAGATTCAATGATTCCCTAAGATGTTTGCCTTTAAAAGGGGGGGGGGGAGAAATGATTATTTTGATGTATGACTCAATGACTGCTTCCAGTATCCTTCAAAACCACAGTTTTTCTGGACCACAGATTGGGAGTAATTGGCTTTGGTATTTAATATATTCAAGAGCTTTTCAACTAATTTCCTTAATACATTTTTTCAAAATATTTTTTCCTCCTTTGGTATTCTTAATGGGAAAAAAGAAATAATAGGTTTTCCATTTAGATAACTGAATTTGGGATGTATTTAAATATATATTTAATATAGAAACTATATACATGTGCACAAATACACATTGATGGAAAATCAAAGATCTTTTCCTGGTTGTCATGGAAATTGCCTAGCAGATGTGTTCCTTTCAGGGAAGCCAGAAAAATTGCAGTATACTTTTTATTGATATTTCATTCAGTACAATACCATAAAAGCTTCAGTTTTTCTAGTTTAAATACAATGAGTTAGGTGACAAACTTAGATTTATCTTTCATGGGAAGTGGCTCTCTCACAAAGACCAAAGAGCATTTAAATATAATTAATAATTTAAACAGTCATATTTTAGCAGTTCTCCAGTATGATGTTTCAGATTTCATAGAAACCAGATTATAGTCTTGCTACGGAATAACCTAGACCTAAACCTTATTAAGGGGAGTGTCAATTAATGAAAAAAAATTAGCATCATATTTAATGCAATCCTATGTTATATAGAATTCCCATGTTTCCCTTTTCAAACTTGTTCATTTTCTTATTTTCACTGCTTTCCATCTCTTTTAGTACCAAATTCAGATCATGTCCTTTTTCTGTAAAATAGAACACATGCTTTTTATAAGCAAATATAACTGTTTATAGGCTGGGCATCACTTTGGATTCACAAGACAAAAAGTGCTTTAGAGCACATGAGGGCAGACACATATCCTCTTTCGGTAATTCTTCAATCTATCCTTCCTGCTATATCTACAGAATCCCTGGAGAGACATATAGTAATTGATTTAAGAAGTTGCCAGTCAGTGTTACATGAGGGCTGATGTGGAGTCTAAGTACTTTTTTTCTCTTTAAATCTAAAGCACTTTACAGCCTTGTTAGATATAGCTTCAAATTGGAAAATAGAAATAAAAAATGATTTTGCAATAATGATAAAAATATTGCTTAGAAAACTTTTGATTTATGACTAACATTGCTATAAACTATAAAAAGCAGTTGTTTAAAATGTCTCTCAATGCTTTTTATTATTTTATAGGTAAATTTATTAATTTAATCATCCTTATAGGCTAAATTTCCATTTGAAAGCTGTACTCTTCAAGTTGGGAGGATTTGGTGAACATTTCAGCCACAATTAATAGATTTCAATCTAGATCATAATGTTTCTGACACTTGGAGCTTTGTAATACCCCAATGTGTTAACATAATCAATGTATTAGTATTCTGTTTAAATTTCCTTGTTAAGCTACTATGTTAGAAAGTATCTCTGCTGTTTCTTTTCATGCAACTACAATCTCAGCTGTAAGCTTAACTTGACTTTCTGTAATATGTTCTAGATATCTTGTTCCACTTATAGTAAATGCTTCAGTTGCACTTCTGCTACTGAAAGAGACGTCTGGATGGAGAACATACGGAGGGCTCTCCAGCCTAACAAGGTATAGTGTAAAATGCAACCTCAGAAAAGCGTCAATTGGAAAGTGCATCCTGATTAGTAGCTGGGGTA